GTCTTAAAAATGGCTTAAACTCCTAAATGTTCTTGAATTTACCTCTGTGAGTAGGTTTCTGCTTGTCACATTTTCTTTGAGACCACCCTGCAAGGATCCTTTTTTCACCTGTTAAATAGATGCTATTGCTCTTAACTAACCACAAAGAAAACTCACTTCAGTACACTTAATATAATACCTACAAAGAAAGGAAAGCTTCAGAAGAAACTCTGTGCTTGGTCATAATGAACCTGGTAAATGTTGGCTTCCTGCAATAAAAATATTAGGTGAAATCTTGGCCTATTGAACTCCATGGGAATTTTGCCATTATTTTACCAGGGCCAGTATTGCAACCAATAAATCCACTGAGCAAACTAAAAAAAGTGGGTGAATGAAGTAAGGGGAATTAATGTCACAGCACCTCTACATTATTTTAGCCCTTGTTCAACCCTTCTTTGCCTGAATGAATAACTCTTGATACTCCAGAGATGTGCTCACAGAAACTATTGTGGCCATATACTGAACACCAAATATTTACAAAAGCATTTAACAGGTAATTCTGAAACAGGAAAGTCAGTTTTGTTGTTATAATGAGTCAGTCTCAGATTCAGCCTGAGACTGTTTTAGGGGTGAATAACCAAGGGCGATTGCCCAAGACTAGATACCATGGGGACTGTGTTAGATTGCAATAATTAAATGAAGGGGTTATCCAATATGCCTCAATCTATGCCTTGTTCTTGCTAGTCAAAACTGCTGTAGCTCCACACAATTGCAATTAGATTTTTCTATTGTAATCCTTTCTGTAATGTGAGCAAAATAACAGACAAAAAAAATACTTAGAAATATAAATGTCCTATATGTGGGCTTTTTTATTGGTAATGTAAAATATCTAATTTCTGATTTCTGATGTGTAATAAATGTAGTTACCACAGTTTTGCATGGGTTATCACAGGCATTCATTACACACATGCACAACGTGGCCCATGTACAGCAAGATAGTTTCAGAAAGCTGCAGACTAACAAATCAAGCAAGGAACAGCCATATCACAGGCATGCTATGTTCCTATCTGAAAGCAAAAGACATTGGATGCGAGGAAATGTGTATGTTGGTAACTCATCAGGAGCAGTACCATGACTGGAGAGCCCTGTTTCTTTAGGAAGTGAAATCTGTGGGAGAAATTCAAACTTCTTGTTCAGATGTTCCAGAATCAACTTCCATATTCTGGACCTTGATATGGTAAAGGACAACAATCCAGTTTCTGGGGCTCATTCATAGGGTTTATTTACATTCAAGGGATAAAAAAATTAAAATCATTACTGGTTAGAAAACAAGAAGCAAAGGGTGTCTAAAAATGCATTTTCTTATAAGAAAGAGATATACAGGCAAAATACTTCAGAATATAGTTTAGCATGGTATGGAAATGCTATAGATATGTAAAATCTCCCTTGAAATAGCTCAATATCTATAACACTTGTCTCACAGTTATTAGTTAAATCAAAGCACTAAAGTTACACTGAGAGTGGAAAATGGTGACATCCATTAAGACATTACTTTGGAACAGACAGTTTTCCTTGGCTGTTAAATCCCACTTAAATATTTATCAGAGTATTTGAAAATAAATTTTACCAACCTCTTAAAACACTCTGCAGGTTTGCATCTTATATCGGTTACCTGACAATTCAACCAAATTTTTTTGTTGTCTGGAATTGTAGGACATCCACTTTAGTTTTGATCATCATGGATATTGCTTCTTCAAACTGGAGTAAACAAACAAATAGACAAATAAAACATTAACAACTGTCTTATGCAGAAAATATTTTACATTGTGGCAGTGTTCTTGCTTTGTAAAAGTGTTTACAAAACTAGTGGGTGCCCAAAAATGATTAAAATTGTAATAAATATTTTGTGAGCTCAGGTGAAGTTACTCATTAGAACATCTAAAAATAGTGACCCCTAGGCATAGGTATGCCTATAGATAAGATGAAAGCAGCCTTTCTTTTTAATCACACTATATCTGACTCCTGGTCCTTTTTACAGTCTTTAAATCAACTCCATCTGGTTCTTACTATTTGTGCAGCTTATCTTTCACAGTAAAATACAATTACTGCTACAGAAGCAGGCCCAATGTGATTAAATGTATTAGGCAAAACAGTGGTTGCTGAAGTCTGGGATCATGGCTGGGCTTCACGAACGAAGATTTGGGAAAGGTCTCTACCCATGTTTGTTACAAGCATGCTGGTGGCTAAAAAGGCCAGTACGAGACAGGCATGTCCAATTGCAAAAGGCACAGCAGAAAGACTCCTTAGGTGGTAAATTCTGCAAGGCACGATTCTTTCTGCACTGTCTTTTCTCCTCGAGAGTGATCCTGTGTGCGTTCTCAAAGGCATCAGCAGCGTTACAGATGGTGTGTCTCCAGGGCCTCACAATTGGAGGCCAGAGTAGACCAGTTATGGTGATTCAATATGGCCAAGGCTGAGATGTTGTTTCAGGGAGTCCTTGTATCTCGTCTTTGGGGCTCCTCTCTTGCAGCAGCCAGTGGCAAGTTCACCATAAAGCAAGATCTTAGGGAGGCGGTGGTCCTTCATCCTTGAGACGTGCCCTGCCCAACACAGCTGTGTTCTCAACAACATGGTCTCAATATCTGTGACTGCTGCTTGTTCTAGAACAGATGTATTGGTCACATAATCTGACCAGTGGATGTTTAGGATTGTATGGAGACAGCATTGATGGAAGCATTCTAGGAGTCACAGGTGGTGGGGGTAGATGACCCATGATTCAGATCCATATAAAAGAGTAGACAGCGCAGTGGCTCTGTAAACACTGATCTTGGTACTTTTCTTCAAGTGTTTACTTCGCCAAACCCTTTTATGAAGCTTTCTGAAAGCTCTATATGCCTTTGCTAACCTGTTGTCTACCTCTCCGTCAATCTTACCATCTGAGGAGATGAGGCTACCTAGGTAATTTAACTGCTGGAATGATTTGAGCTCTGATTGGTCAATGGTGATATGGGGATAATGGAAGACTTCCTGAGGTGCCAGTTGATAGAGAACTTCTGTTTTCTTTAAACTGACCTCCATCCCAAAGAGCTCAGCAGCGTCTGCAAAGCAGGATGTTAAACGCTGCAGAGCTGCTTCTGTGTGGGCGACAAGGGCGGCGTCATCAGCATAAAGCAGCTCCCGGACAAGATGGTTTAAGGTCTTACTGTGGGCCTTCAGTCGCCTTAGGTTGAAAAGGCTTCCATCAGTACAATATTGAATGTAGATACCATCCTGATCATCAAGGTCTGCTGTGGCCCTTTGGAGCATCATGCTGAAAAAGACTGTGAATAGGGTTGGTGCAAGAACGCAGCCTTGTCTCACACCATTAGTTATTAGAAAGGGCTCAGAAAGTGCATTGTCATATCTGACTTGGCTGTGTTGATCCTCATGGAATGAGATGATCATTTTGAGGAACTTGGGGGGACAACCTAAACGTTCCAAAATCTGCCATAGACCTTTCCTGCTCACAGTATCAAAAGCCTTGGTGAGGTGTCGATAAGGTTACATAGAGACCTTTGTTCTGTTCCCTACACTTCTCTTGCAGTTTCTGAGAACAAACACCGTGTCTGTGGTACTCCTGTTGGCTCTGAAACTACATTGGCTTTCAGGTAGAATTCCTTCTGCTATAGTGGGTATTAGTCTGTTTAAGACTATTCTTGCCAGGATTTTGCCAGCAATGGAGAGCAGAGTAATACCATGGTAATTTGAACAGTCTGATTTAGTACCTTTCTTCTTATACAAGGTGATGATGACTGCATCACGAAGGTCTAATGGTAGTTCACCGAGTTCCCAACAGTGTAGTAAGAACTCATGAAATTTAGCATGGCCCCCATGTTTCCAGACTTCAGATGGAATTCCATCAACCCCAACTGCTTTGCCAATTTTCACCTGCTGTATGGCCTTGAGGGTCTCTCCTAAAGTGGGGGCAGTATCCAGTTCATACTTCACTGGTTGTTGTGTGAAGGCTTTACTCACTTTTGCAAAGCCCTGTATCGACATCTTCTGGAATCAGCTAACCACAAAAAGCCATGTTCGGCAACCAAATGAAACCGAGGACCAAATCTTCACTGGGTGTAAACTGGCTGGAGTCCAGCTTATTTCAGTGGGAGGTATTGAAAATTATATTCTGGGCCACCTTTCTTTATGTTAATACTTTTTGGAGCACATCAAGCCAGAACAATGCTTGTGTAAGAAACAATCTCATCTTCCTGTATACTAGCTCTGGGTTTATGGTCTGCTGTGACAGGGCAAGAACCCCATCAGCTAGAAGGCAACAATCCTGCCTATGTTAACTAAAACAAACCATAACAAAAAGTGCCCCTCTCTGGGATACTCAGTTTATTTAGAGGGTACTAGTTCAGATTCCATTCAACAGACTGCCAACATAAGCCAAATATCAAGACAACAAAAGCAAAGGAGCAAACCAGCTTTCTATAATTTTTCTATGACAGTGTCTCCATTCCTTTACAGTTAAACTAAGCTGTGTTCATTGCTGAGTTTGTGAAAATCTTTGTGATGATCTTACCAAATAAAAATCATGTTGCTGAATGACTGTGAGACAGGCACAACAAACTGGGAGAGGTAGGATATGGTAGAATCTCTTCTAGGAAGGACTTACATGTAAGTTATGATGTACAAGTAGGGTTTGGTGTTTCCCTGTGGTGTGCTTTGCTCTTTTAGGGGTTCATTTTGGAGCTGCCGTGCCATGTCCATGACAAATGCTCACAGCAACCTTGACACAGATGGTGTGCTCCAGCTCATGCCAGCAGGCCATGATACTTGGAAAAATATTGGGACTCTGGGACTGAAAGGAGTATAGTCAGGTCCCTATCCCAAAAGTCATAGGGTCAAATGAAACTTGAGCTCTCTTTGAAAATACTAGAATTTCTGCTTTTGACAAGAATGCCAGCTATGTATCCTGACATCACCAGAATACCTAAACAGGTGAAAATACTACAGTTACAACCTTTTCTCTTTTGCAGCTTGAGAACTACATTGTGGAAAACATGAAATCAGAGATGGTGCAGCTGCAGCAGAATGCTGTGCAGAATCACACTGCCACCATGCTCGAGATAGGTACCAGCCTCCTCAGCCAGACAGCAGAGCAGACAAGAAAACTTACGGATGTTGAAACCCAGGTATGTTCCCAGAGTGGTTTTGTAAAAGCTGTTAATTAAAGAGAAGGTTTCCCATCCTCTTTCCTTTCTAATGCATCACCACACAAAACATTTCAACACAGGACTCCAAGAAACATTACACACTCTGTTTCTTGGTAGCAACAGCAGTGATGATTGACCCTTGTTATGTGTTTTTCTTTTGATTTCATTTGGTTAGTGATATTTAGCTCTGTGTGCGTAAGAAAGGCAAGACTATCCAGGAAACTAAATCACCATTACACTTTCAATAAACAGCACAACTACCAACTGTGAATGATACAAGCGTCAAGCTAAATAATGACCTTCAGGCTAAATCAGAGCCTTTGATCTTCATTGTTGTTTGTCTCTTTACTATTCCAAGAGGGTTTGTTTATTTTCTGCAAGTTGTTTCCAGCCATTTGAAATGTAGAGTATGTTTGCAGCTTTTAAACTGTGGAGAGGGACAAGCATCAGGTTCTTTATAAAACACTATGTATTTTTAATTACTGTAAAATTGTATAACATCACACGAATTTAAAGAACCATTTCCATATAATTCCTAGCACTAAAATCACTGTTGTGATTGAAGTTATGCATATCACTGTCAAAACACTGAGTACAGTTTAACTCTGGGCCTATTGCAAAGATAGGTACTTTTTGCTTTTTGAATGCTTTTATTGCTTTAAGGTGCATATTTTTTGTCCTTATTTTTGTTGACTTCCTAATGATTTTTGTAGCATATATGTGTTACCAGCTGCACTGCTTTCACTGTTCATTTAGAATAGGGGAATTAAAGTATTGCAATTGTTTGTTTGTTCTTCTAGCATATGTTCTTCTTGAAAGATTGTATTTTCTGTTTTAATGTCCTTACTTATCTTTATAATATCATTACTAATTTTAAATGCATTCATATTAAAGTACACTGAGAAATAACAGTAATGAAAAACAGACACATGTCTTACACATGTTCCCTGCACCTCTTCTGCTACATCTTGGATAATAGATCAATATTCACTTATAAACACTGCACTGATCTCAAATTACCACAGTTCCTTAAACATAGTATATTGATTATGAAAGCAAGAAAGGTGATACTACTAACTGTAGTATCATATATTCAGTAAAGGAAGCATAGGAACTCTTCTTATATCCAGAAAGGACTCTGAAGGTGTGAGTGTTGAGTACTCATTCATGGTTTCCCCCTTTAAGCAGGTAAGAGACAAAATGTACATTGCCTGTGTCTCACTTTTCCTTTGAGGATTCACTTCAAGGTAGAGTTATCACTGACAACTGCATGGAGGAGTGGATCATTCCCTATTGATGGAGAATTTAAAGGATGTTCGAGATACCAGCTTGTGGCTCTTCCTTCTTGCAGTACTTGCACTGACTTTCAGCTCAGTGATGGCATATTCTATCTCCCTTGTTTCAGTAGCATTAGAAAGTCCCTGTAGTCCCTGGCTCTATCATCAATCAGAAAAGAGTGGTGCAGGTGGCTCAAGAAAGCGAAAAATTACTGCTCTTGAAGTGATGGAGGCAGCCAGCTGCATGGCTGAGTGACCAAGGTCTGTAGCTATTATGAGAAAGGCATGTCACTTTCTCATGGTTGTAATAAGCAGTGTTCATGCCAGAGCAAGGAGCAGTCTGAAGGACTGAAGATAGAACCTCCATCTCCTTATTTCTCAGTAAACCCTCTCAATCCCTGATCCATCTAAAAACCCAAAGATTCCCTTCAGGCTTTCTTCTCTTCCTGAAGTTCTACTGACATTTTGTAGGCTGCTCCACAGTGATATCTTCTTTGGAAATCTGTTTATTCTTTCTGGACTTCTTATCCCTTACCAATCTTCATAATACATTTTCAATTTCTGCCAGGTCCTTCTGTGATGTGTCTTGGCACTTCCAGGATTGTACCCATCTTGAAAAACATAACAGCTCCATACTGATGATTTTCAAATTTTTCAATCTCTGTACCCTTGAGAAAGGACAACTCGTGTTGCTCTGTGAGTGTCAATGATTTCAAACAAAAATAAGGCACTGAACTGAGCTTGAGAGCCATTCTCATTGCTTTATGTTGTGTAACAAATTCCTGCCAGGAATGCTATGGGGTCCTCAGCAAAGGAAAGACGTGGACCTCTTGGAGTGGGTCCAGAGGAGGGCCGTGAAGATGATGAGAGGACTGGAGCATTTCTCCTATGAAGACAAGCTGAGAGAGTTGGGATTGTTCAGCCTGGAGAAGAGAAAGCTCTAGGGAGATCTTACTGCAGACTTTCACTGCTTTAAGGGGCCTCCAAGAAAGATGGGGACAAATTATTTAGCGGGAGCTGTTGTGACAGAACAAGGGTTTTAAACTGAAGGATGGTGGATTTAGATTAAAGAAAGAAGGTTTTTACTGTGAGAGTGATGAAATACTGGAACAGGTTGCCCAGAGAGCTGGTACGTACTCCATCCCTGGAAACATTCAAGGTCACATTGAATGGGTTCTGAGAAACCTGATCTAGTTGGTGTCCTTGCTTATTCTAGTGGGATTGGACTGGATGACCTTTAAAGTCCTTTTCAACTCAAACTATTCTATGAATCTATGCATGAGAAAATGTTATTTAAAATCCTATGATGATTAATATCCTTCCAAGAAAGGTCTGATAGATTCCGTTAAAGAGACATAATTTTTCAGAAGTGATTGCATCTCAGGTGTTGTGTGCACACACATCCACAAAAACTATTTACACACTCCTTCAGACTCTATGTAATGAATGACAATAACAAAAAAAAATCAACTAACATTACTTAATATTATTGCTTTCACTCTTCAAAACATTCTGCTATTTCTGCTTTTGAACTATTTTTGTTAGAATCTATTCTCTTTCATATAGTTAAGTCTTCTTTTGGTCTGATATACTTTTTGAAACTTGTGCTGCTGATACAGACCACCACTAAAGTGAAAGAGAATTTTATAAAGCAATGTTTAGGATCACAGTGTTCATCTTAAAAGTCTGTGCAAGAGTAGAAGTAGTGATCACATATGCAGACACCAGACTTCTGCCAACACTGCAAAAGAGAGAACTCAGGGGAAAGCTAAAGTAGGAACTCTATTTACAAAACAGCAGAGGCAACACTGACTTCAGTCCAAGTACTCCTGCACTTTTCTGGTTTAAGCATGCTTTGTAGGAATGCATGTTTGAGGCAAGCCTCTTGTTCTTTCCATTGAAATGAAGCTTATTTGGCAGTCACCTTGCCTTTTTCTGCTGGTCTAGTATTATTCTACAGTAAACAGGTTGCCAGAAGATCAGCTGGTATATATCAGTGTAGCTTGATTGAGTTCATTTGCACAAGCTGAGCAGCTGAGGTTTAAAAAGGATTTAGAAACAGTTTTTGAAAATCATTGAATCAGAATGAAATGGTTGTATTATGCTGCTATGACAAAACAACAAGGACAATATAAACATTAGTGTTTTTAATTTATCTCTAAGGTGCTAAATCAAACATCCAGACTTGAAATTCAGCTACTGGAAAATTCACTGTCAACATACAAGCTAGAAAAACAACTGCTACAACAGACACATGAAATCCTAAAAATTCACGAGAAAAACAGGTAAGAATGAGTCTCTTACCCTCTTTCTCTGTTCATCACAAGGTGGTCTGTGCATATTTTCTTCTAAGCAACTGATGGAATGAAAGAAGCAAATATGGTAAGTGGAAAGCAGATGTAATGTTTAGGAAATGGCTAAAAGACCTAAGGTGTGTGAACTTACACTATGTTAGCTCTTGTATGATAAATGCTAGCAGATTTTTACCACTTTTCATGTTCACTGTAAGTTCACATCTTAGTTTGCTTCATGACAACTGGGTCATATGACCACAGTTCCTACTACCAAAAAGGATAGGGATAACTTTTATGAGCACTTTCAAGTAGAAAAATATTAATAAAAAATGATGAGATTTTCAACTATCCTAAAGTGCATAAGAAACAGAAAATATTCAGTAGTTCATATCTAATTTTAATGATACAAATATATGATGTAGAAGGATCTCTCTCTCCTTTTGGACTCAATTATATATTGCATACTTGGAGCCATACTCCGTTTAGGGAGTCAATGGTAAACATTTGGGGTTTATGTTGAAGCTGATGAAAAAACTGTTTAGCAGCACAACTTTTTTAAGCAGAAAAGTGAGAGTCAAGAAACAGTTTCGATGTTCCCTTTTTGTGGCACCTGAAGTCACTGGACTTGGCAATTCAGTATGTCAGAGAGTGTGTGTGGTGGGTTGACCCTGTCTGGCTGCCAGACGCCCACCCAGCCACTCTCTCACTGCCCCTCGTCATCGGAATGGGGAGAAAATATGATGAAAAAGCTTGTGGTCAAGATAAAGACAGGGAGATCACTCATCAGTTACTGCCATGAGTAAAACAGCCTTATTTACTGCCAATTAATAACAGCATAGGATGGTGAGAAACAGAAACAAAACCAAAAAGACCTTTCACCCCTACCTCCCCTTTTTCCCAGGGTCAGCTTTACTCCTGACTCTTCTCTCCCCCCCGAGCCATGCAGGGGAATGAGGAATGGGGTTGTGGACAGTGCACAGCTCTTTGCCTCCTCTTCTTTCTCATACTCTTTCTCCAGCATGGTTCTTTCCCACAGGCTGCAGATAAGACTACTCCATGTGGGCTCTCCACAGGCTGCAGCCTACTTTTGGACATCACCTGCTCCAGCATGGGGTCCTCTGTGGAAAAAAATCTGCTCCACCATGGTCTCTCCCACAGGCCGTAGGGTTCTATCTGCTCCAGTGCCTCCTTCCCTCTTCTTCTCTGATCTTGGTGCCTGCAGCACTGTTTCTCTCACTTTTCCCCTCATTCCTCACACTGTACCCTGTGGTGGGTCGGTTGGAGCTGGCTGGAACCACCTGTGCCCTATATGAGGCAGCCCCAGTGTTTCCTCACAGAGGCTGCCTCACAGCCCCTGCTGCCAGCACCTGGGCATTGGCACCCAGTACAGTGGGAAAAGCCATTCCCCTTCCTGACTACCCTTTGAGAGATTCACTGTACTGCAGCCTCTGTAATGCACAGGTGTGAGCAGGGAGGACACAGAGTGCTTTCACTCCACAGCCTCACTCTCGGCCTCTCGGTTCCCTTCTAGAAAGAACAACTGTGAGGTCAGTCTGACTAGGACTGTGGTTTCTATTTCCACTGTCTACACTGACAATGACATAAGGTAAACAGCTTTAAACATGAGGCAGATACTGAAGCATCTGATACAAGTTTTAGAGGACTGTTTCAATTGAGATCAAATGGTTTGTCAAAAAGCGCAGTGTGACACTGGTGCTGCTGGACAGGAATCAGCAACTGAGGCAGAAAAACCTTGCCCAGGGCTATACATGAGGCAGACTAACACCAAGGTGAGCAAGGAGCTACAGAGTAAAGAAGGCAAAATCCAGGTAATTGTGAAAAATAGAAAATATTGTTACAAAAAAATATATTTGTTAAATGCGTCTAGTAGCAAAGCAATTACTATTGCTAGTGACTATGAAAATCCATTTAATGTGTTTAATCTAACAACTGTTTATAATCAGTAATTCCAACAAATATTATTCTGGACAATTTGGATTACACTGAAAACTTTTGAACTCCACAGATGTCCCTTAATCAATCGGAAATGTCAATAAATTAGCACGGGATTAACTTTGCCTTTGGCCATCTCAAAACTAAGGAATCACCTAAAATATTTATGTGGGCTCTCCCTGTAGTCCACAGAGAGAGTGCGTATGGGCAGGAGACAGTTCATTCTACATATTTTACAATATGTAAAGTTAAGTATATAAATACTTGCACTTTTATCTGCTGCAATCTGGTTAGCAACAAAATTTTGTTGGCCGCTCAAGAGACTGAATTTTGTATAGTTAATAATTTGAATTTATTTATTTACCTTAGTAATGTATCAGAGTGTAAAGCCTTCATGTCAGTAAACAAATAAGGTTTACTTGAGTTGACCTTTGACTTGGCTGACATTATGATGAAATGGTCTGTGAAAAGTCAGAGGAAAAGGAGGACTATTTTAAAAAGCACACCTTACTGTTTCTTTCAGAGGTGTGGGTATATGTGGGAAAATGAAAAAGCATGTGGAATTTCATCTTGCAATGAAGCAAGAATCTGGCATGCACTGTGTAGGCTCTTTTACAGTTTCCTTGGGAGTGATAAAATTAGGGAGAGGGCAGTGTTATGATTACACTAAAATATAGATCATCAGCTCTTGTATCATCATCTACTCCTAACAAAGAACTGTGTAGTCTTAGCCTTGTAGGTCCTGATCTTGAAATCAGTCATTTGTGTGTCAGGTTCACTGCAGGACAAATCTTGGTGACCTCAGCAGATACTAGGTTTGTGGACATGCCAATGATTTTATCTTGTTTAATTTTAAACAGTATTTACAGATTACCCATCAGACTGTGTTTAGTAGCTATTTACAGTTAAATTTTCTTCATCCCTCTCCATATCACTTTCACATCAATAAAAGAGAGAAAACCCCTTTTATCCACATTACTCACATGGACTGTAAGCTTTTTTGGAAAGGGTCTTTCTTTTGCAGCAGATTTATACTGCAGTGGGAACTAGTGTAGGAACTATTGTCATTGCAAGAATGATTGAAACAGGTGGTGTACTGTGAGCTGATAATTTCTTTCTCTGTGCTAAAATTCCTCTATAAAAAATAAAAATAATCTTAGTCACTTTCTAAGAACTAGATTTTGAATGAAAGTAATACAAATCTTATAGTAACAATAACTCATTGGTGAGGTACTATAATAACTTGTATATTATCTTTAAATAAAACGAACATTGCTTATCAACAAGGGACCAGTGCATGTTCTTTAGACTAGAAACATGTCTATTCTTGGCCTTTCTCTTTATTTCCTGTCTCTACTGGGAAGAAGGGCCAATTTTTTTTCTTTTTATCCACTGAAGTGAAAGATTTTCCATGGCATAAGTAGTCACATTTGCCCTAGAATCATGTTTCTATTGAGTGCTCTCATGCCATAAATAATTTAGTTTTGTGGGTTCCCACCCACTATAATGTAAATGGTGGTTTCTTCCATTGCCATTTTTTTCTCCCACAAGAGCTTTCTAAATGTTATTTTGATTTATTCTTGAAAGACTTCCCTGCTTAAGTGGGTTATGAGCTCCATTTTTTTCCCCAGAGTGTACCAGCTGCATTTAACTTAGTGTGCCGTTTGTTTCAATATGCAAGTGTAAAAAACCCTTTTTGTTTACTGAAACGAAACAAATGAGGAAAAGTATAATGGAATTCTGGATTACTTTACTTTTCCGGTTACTTCATTTGCCTTGAGAAATACGGGGACACATATTTTCATATTTCCTTAAACTGTTCACACAGTATCAGACCACCAAGGTGACCAACACCTAACAATACAGGGAAAATTTCCCTCATCTAAAAGGAAGTACAAAGAAACTGTCTCAATGAGAGAATAATGTTCTTGCACTCAAAAAACCCCACTGAAATCCTCTACCTGTTTGTCTTCCCAAACATACACAGTAAAAGACACCTACATATTTATGGCCAAATAATTTTTTTCTAGTATGACATTTATTTGTTTATTTACTTGAATAGCTCAACAAAGCACATATTTTATCTGTATATTTAATAAATCTTGAATTTTTAAAAATTATTTTAATGAGAAAGATGTCCGTCTCTAAGATCTGGTCTATATCCTGTTCTCACATGTCTAAACTGAGGCCTCTGAAAACAAAGATTAAAAAAATCTCTTGAACTCCTGTGGTCTGGAACGGATTAGTGAATAAACTACCTACCTTATATGGCAAATTGTCTAAAACAGACTTTCCTTCCTCCCTGGGCAGCTACCAGAGTGCTTCCTATATGTTCTACTTCATCACCTTTCAAAATGACAACAGCTTTTACTGGAAGTCATTTTTAGAATTCTGTTTGGTGTTCTACCCTCTCCAGCATTATTAGAGGGCTTTTTCTGAATCAGCTGGACAGAGCACAGTTGCACCAGGCATTCCACTGGCTTATACACTGACAAAGTCAACACATCATTTGTACGGTTGAAAATAGATTCCTTGCCCTACCAAAATCACTATATTAGACATTGAGACACAGTTATTTTTTAGGATAATTAAATTTATCTGGGTTTGGGGTGTGCATGTGCATGTTTGTTTTTAGTTTAATTGTCTTCTAGATAATGACTCCAAAGAGTCATTGTCCAGTGGACAATATTGGTATTTACTCATGTTAACAATATTTTTTTCTTAACAATTTAATTCTGTTCCCCAAAAGACTGATTTATTTCCCCAGACTGAAGGCTGCAAATATAAAACCCACATATATATGCATATCTTTATACATATATATAATGTATATTTATATGATACTTCTAGTGGTTTATTTTTATTGTTTTGTAGTTCCCATAACAGTTTCATCTGTCTAGATCAGTAATATTTTCAACCATGTGGAAATTTCAAACATATTGGAAACATATAGGAATTTCAGATGTGTAGGAAAGGCATACTTACTGCAAAAAAGAATGATAAAATTTAATGGAAAGTGCTATAAAAGAATGTTTCAGTCAGCCTTTTCAGATTTTTGGATTCATTGATATAGAGACAACCTTCTTTTTTTTTTTTATTTTAATATTTTATACTAGCAATAGTCATTAATGAAAGCTAGTAGAAATAGTTTCATTTTAACTGTTTTCATAATGCTTCTTTAAAAAATTGAGAAAATATCTTTAACTAGCACTCGACAAAGTTATTTCTTCATGGCAGTTGTCTATTAGAAGTTGTCTGATCTCAAAAAAAGAGACAACATAGTGGTCTTGCAACTGTTAAAAAGAATAGCTAAGTACCTTTGTAATAACTTTCAATCTGTTCCAAGATTTTTTTTCTGAGATCCTAGAACTTCTTTTTTTATTATTTTTATTTAAATGAGCTATAGCAAGTATTAATGTAACAATACCAATGAAAAATTCTGACCACATTGGAGACAAAAACCATAAGAGCAGCTTTTCCCACGCTGTTTAAGGATTTCTTCCTTTTGGAACAGGCCAGTTCAGAAATCCCTGATCTATGTGAAAACTTTGCTTTTGTTCATTTGGAGCTTTGATAAAAGGTTTCTCATTGATTCCTAGTGAAACAAAATGAATATTTTGGACTTCTTCCAGGAATACAGGGAGTGGTCCTATCCTCAGGACTTACTCTTATCTGATACAGATTTATGAATATAGAAAGCTCATTGCATCAATGCATATGCATTCCTGAAAACAGCTTAGTTTTACAGTTTATAATAACAGGACTTTTAATCTACATAGCAAGTTGCAAAGGAACCAAATGCTGTGACACTTCCATCTTTCCACCACATGTTGACACACCACTCAGAAATGTTAGGATGTACTATTACTAGAGCTGTAAAACATCTGCTTGCTGTCTGTCTGTGTAGATGCCAAACTGTGAAGCTCTAAACATTGTCAGCTTCTTCCTTCTTGCTCGACATGGCCAGTGCTGCTGCAAATAAGACTGTCATCACCACGGGTTCATTTACTGTGGTCTTAGGAAGGCCACAGTGGGAAACAAATAATCCAATACATAAATTGTGGCTGTCAAAGGCTCTTTCTTTCACATGAAATCATTCAGTTATGGAAATCATTTAGTTGTGGACATGCAAATAGAATATAGTGGAATTAAGGAAAAACATTGTACTGTACTATGGTATGGACAAAAATAAAGGGAACTTTTTTGTCTTTTCTTACTACTTAACTTTAAAACTATATTCTAGCTTCCAGAATGGTATATTCCCTTACATTGATAATATAAAACATTTCAGTGGACTGTAAGCTGTCAGACTGGGATGTGGCCCCACTTAGCACCCATTCTATTACAGACTGTGCCCAGGACCCACTTTGTTCCTATGCCAAGTACATTGACATAACTAATCTATCAGAAAAGTTAAAATCTAGAGTAATAATGAGGATTTCAATAATTTCTGTAAAAAACAGTGGAAAAAAGTGGATAGAACCGATAAATATCAAATGGAACATTTTTTTCCGAGCAATACTTTTTGACTAAAACCAAATCCATCTGAACATTTTTGTCCACTTCTTCCTAACTAAACTACATCTGACCTTCTGCATAACAAAACTCCAAAACTTTCACATAAATATTCTCAAAAATATCTATGTGAATCTAGAGCATGGTGTTTAATATTAGAGTTCAAGTGATGAAAAAAATCAACCACAGGTCTGATTAAGTGTTAAAATAATTTATAGTCTTTGGCTTCAAAATTCGCACTTTGTTTCAGATTGTAACTTTCTACCATCTCATTCCATCTTGTTATGCTTTTGTTACTAATTAATGAGCCTTTTAAAATGAGATATCGTGTTCCCCTTTGTGTTTGGGACCCCATGATAAATCCCCTTCCCATCTTTTTTTTTTACTCCCTTTACCCAGATGCTTCTGATTTTCACAGAACTAGATATGTTGATATTACAAAGTATGTTTTCTTCAGTATCTTTGTAAGTCTCACATTTATAAAGTTTCAGAAAAAAAAAAAGATTTGCTGCTTGGTTTCTTTTTTTTTTTCAACAAACAAACAAAATTTGATCTCCCTCTAGCTTGTACAGCAAATCCAGGGTCTGAATTTAATCTTTGCATTGTTATCATCTGTAAGAGCTCATATCAAGGCTCTGTGATATCGAGTAGAAACAACTCCATATGGATTTTATTACATTCTTCAGTTAGGTTAAATGACCTGAAATTATGCAGGCATTTTGCCACTGATCTATTATCCAGAAGTAAAAACAAAGGTGGAGGGAGAGTGCAAATAAATAAAACCTAAGACTGACTTGAACAGGAAGCAGTTTGTTGGCAAGTTTGTAACCACCAGTTGGTTTGTGGGCATGAGAAACATCTCTTTTTGTGTATACAGTAGAATCCCTAAAGAGAAAGTAGAAGAGAGATTGAATTACTTTCTTTATCTAATATTAGTAAATTCTTTCTGCTAAACTCCCACCACAGCATCAAAGCACTGTCATGAAAAAATGTCTTGTTCACTGTTGACAGATATTAGCTGTCCTTTATGTCTACAACACCTCTATTCTTTTAGATATATTTCAATATGTCTTTGATCTTTGTAAATTGTATACTTCGGCACAGGACAGAGAGGGTAGTAGAAAAACAATATTAATCCTGAGAAAGTGTTTCTATACATGTGTAAAATTATTTATAAAAATTGATGTAAGCATGTTGCATAGTGTGATACCCAACAGTTTTCTGTCTGAGAAGCCTTTTGTGGAATAAGAAAACAACACTTGGGAGTGTGGTGGAATACATATGTAGACTCAAGGAAAACAAAGGAATCTTATATTAAATTGCAAATTTTTTATTTACCTTTTGGGAAAACAGTACTATTCTTAATGAGAGAGAAGCTACCACTCATCTGGAGTGCAATTCTTATCCCAGTGTCACAGACCACATCAAATGGTACTTTTATTATGGGTTCCATATCTCTTGATGGCCCTCCATAACTGCCAATGCTTATCTTTCATTTAGTGGCAAGGCCCTTCACAAGCTCTTTCTCAGTTTGCCCCTGATTTTTGTCTCGTATCATATTGACCCATACATATCGCTCTTCAACGCCCTGCTCTTCTCCCTCCTCTGCCTGCCTTAGGCTTTTCTGCCTAAGGTTTTATGTACAAATATGTGGGTCACTTCCAACTCAACATATTCTGTGATTCTGTGATTCTTTGTTACTGACCTTATGCTCATGTACTTAGACAAGAGTAACACCTACATATGCAGTTCCATGCACTTTAAGCAGTACAGTATGCAAACATCACAAAATGGAATCTTAGATATCAGTCATATTTGGCTACTTGACAGAGAAAATCAGTGGGCTGAATTACTAGATGTGAAATTTTTAGAATTATTAAGTTAGGTAGTGAATTATACCATGAAAAAAAAAGTTCTGGTTTTTGTATTCTTAACTATTTTAGCTTGAAATAATATCTACTAATTGATTTCATTTTAGCTTTCTTGAGCACAGAATTTTGGAAATGGAAGAAAGGCACAAAGAGGAGCTGGCCACTTTGAAGGAGGAAAAAGAGAATCTACAAAGCTTAGTCACACGACAAAGCTACATAATCCAGGAACTAGAGAAGCAGTTAAACAAGGCAACAAGCAATAACAGCGTCCTACAGAAACAGCAACTTGAATTGATGGAAACAGTTCACACTCTGATCACCCTCTGCTCCAAGGAAGGAGGTAAGAATATATCATTAAAAACATTAGAAGTATTAGGAAATTTCCTCTGAAGTCCTGAGTTTTTGGGAAGGCAGAACTTAATGAGCTTATTCCAAGAAAGAAAAAGACATTATAGTTGAGGACAAGATAGCTGATATTAACCCACAAATCAAATATATTTTAGACATTGCTGAGGTTGACCCTTGTACTAACAACCATATTTGATTTTTTTAATTTAGTGTCATTGAGTTATTATACCTCGACCATAGCTAGGCCATAATTCCATCAACTTCATGTTAGCCATATTGTTTTGTTACTCTGAGTATCTGTCTCCTTCTGTTGGGAATAATACAACCAATTGTGGGTGTTAATTTTACAGATGCCTATTCCTCATTTACTCTAGTCTTCCCATACAATCAATGGAGAGAACATGATAGAAAACAAAGTAACTCAGAATTTTTTACGTATATGTGGCTTATAATGTTGATGACCTCGGATTTAGGCACTTATGGTGCTGTCGGTAGACATCCAAAAGATGAATGTCTTCACTTGAATGAAGATTTTATTTATAATAAGGGATAATTTTTCTTTCCTCTGCCTTGCTGTGTTTTGTTTGTGTATCAAGCACACTCCAAACTGTTGCCCAAAATTGACACTTAAAAGAAATCTCTCAGACTCAGTTTGTGAGTTTAGAAGTCAGACATTATTTATTCTGTGAACCAAGTATACTGGTAATAATTTTACCAAAGTCATGACATCTCAGCTAGATGTGTGTGTGATTATTCATTTGCATTTCTTGCCATCCTGTTACATATTCATGACAATTCCCAACACTTATTAGCATATATATGTATCCTTATAAGGCCTCTGAGGGGCTTCACTGAGGGTTTCTGGGGGTCCTTTCTGCCTGGAGACCCCAAAGTTCTGAGTGACTGCTTTATGAACTCCTTTAAGACAATGCACCTTGTTGTGTAATACCGCTTCTTTGTTTGCTTGGCTGCTTAAGTTCCTTTCTTTATTGTTTCTTCACTTTGCTTGTCTGATTTCTTTAAATTGAGGCACAGTAATTTTCAATGGGACATTCTATTGCAAGCACTACTGGTACTAGTTCTGCTACATCTCAAAACTCAAAAGAATAAAGGTAGAAATAACATCCTTTGAGAGAAAGTGTTGACAAAGACTCTAGGACAATTCTCTTCAAGTATGCCTTTCTTAGTAAACAGTTTTATAGCAACAGAGACAGAAATTCAGGTAGAATTTCAGTTTTAATATGCCAAAGACATTGCAGAGTGTCTTGGGAAAGACATTCCTTTAGTCAGAACTGTTCAAGGGAGATGGGTGAATGGAGACCACTGAAAAGAATGGAAACGTGACACTGGGAAGAATAAATTAGTAACTATGCAAAACAAGGCAAAGTAATACAGAAATGACAATACAAAAACCCTTTCTGAGAAAGGGTACAGAATATACTTAGAAAGAAACTGTAGATGTGTGAGTTGTGATAGTCATTCAGTAAGCGTGGAAACATGGATGAGGGAGGTCTATGAGAGGTTAAGCACCAGCAGTCCAAAGAGTTCAGTATATTTGATCATTGTAATTCCAAGTGCCATAAATTATCTAAAAACAAAAAAAAACACAAAAAACCCCATCAAACAATCACACCATCCCATCTATTGAAAATTTGTCACCTCTGTCATTATTCAAAGCTCTGTCTAAGAGGTGGAAGACGTACTAGATGATTCAAACTATTCAACTCAAGGCACTGTGGGTTTTCTCTCTGCTATATATTCCCATGCAACTTGTGTGGCTTAAATCTAAACTGCTCAAGTGGTGAGGATTACATCTCTTCCTTTGGAAGTGTTGCATGCTTGGGCCCATGTTGATAGACTACTTTTAAAAAAAAACCCAATTTTTCTCCTCTCATGTTCATTCTAAATGTTCCCTTCTGCTCATTTTGTTATATTGTTCCCTAGTATTTTGAATTAAATAACATGTTTCATAGTAGACTGTTCTCATATCAGTAGAGAAACATTGTGATGCAATGCAAAGCCTTCATTATGTTTTATGTTTTTTTGGCAAAGAAACCTGGCAGGGCTGTGTCCCGAGTGTTCTAATAAAGCTCAGGAGTATTTTAAAATCAGTATCGAAATGAAAGATATATTATTCTCATACAGAGATATACTGCAAGTTCTTTTTAAGGTTAAAAAGATTTGGAAATTTGGAATTTGATTCAAAGAAAAAAACAACAAACAAAACAGCATTTTCCCTAAACTTCATTTCCTCAACTGCTTCTTATAAAAACTGTGAATGAGGAATACAGAAGTGGATGTTTTAGATTGAGCTCCTGGGTACTTATTCAGTACCTGAAAATCTGAGTTTTCAACAGTCTTTTTAACTTCTGAGGAACTGTGAAGCAAAGGATGCTTAGCACAGTCATATGCCTAAATATAAATTAAAAACCTAACTAAGACCCTTGGGTTTGTACTCCATTACCTTTTGTGTATTATGTTCAGAATTTTCCTTGGATACCTTTTTTATTTAAAGAGAATAATTTAAAGAGAAATAATTGCAGAAACGTTTCCACTTATCGTCTGATTAAATCTAGATGACCAACATTTTTTCATAGATACATTCACAGCTGAAAAAGGAGTCAGGTAGCTGAAGTTAAAATAATAATATTATCCTGGAACACAACACAATTCTAATGGAGACTAAATACAAAAGGATTTGGTTATGCCAAAAATTAAAGCCAACTTCAGTCTGTGCAAATATATGTTGAAGATGATTTCCATCTCCATATGCATGCTGGGAAGTAACACTGGAGATACTCTTCTAAATTCACACCAAAATATGAAACTTAGATAGTCTAACACAAGTCTTGAAGTGTACACTAATGTTCAAAATAAAAAACTTTCTGTGAGCACTGGTGTTTCTTGGGAGAGGGAGAATAACAAAATGCGACACATAGATAAGTTGGCAGCCCTTCTTTCTTATACTTCATAAAATCTCAGTCATCTAATTTCATAAGAGATATAGTAGAAATGGAAATGGACCAGAAAAGAATAGGACAATGGACAAATTAGAGACCTGGAACAATTTCTATATGAGGAGAGAGAGCTGTAACATACAGAACTATTAGAGAGGAGAGAGGTATGTGGGATGCTGTCATGGAAGTGTACAAAATAACTAATGGTAGGGAGAAAAGGAATAGTCAGTAACATTAAGAGATACTTTCCATTGATAAAAGTCATTTAGGTGCAGGTTACTAGATATCCTCAAGATCGATAAAGATTTTTTACTTATTAGAAAGCTACAGAGCTACAAAATGATGGGTCCCCTTAAGAACTTTGGGTTTTTAACTAGGGAAAGGAAGCACAACTTTCTTTGAAAGGAAGCACAACTTAAGTGAGGTATGAAGTCTACAAGGCCAGATTGTCAAAGATGAGTGACTTTAAGTACCTTTATTGGATTTTCAACCATAAAATAAAAATGTAAGTAAATATATTTTATATTACATGTATGTCTATATATTTTAAAAAAAGATTAGCCATATCAAGAAACCTAAAATTCTGTCCCAAGATAAGTCACAGACAGGAAAATTATTTTATTCTTCTCATAAATCATAGTGTTCTGGATTTTCCAAATTGTGAAACTGAAAAAAGTAATAATACAGCTAAACAAATTAGTTTGAAAACAATTTAGTGATAACCATTGCTTTTTGATTACAAAACATGAGATACATTTCCTCCAGTAGTGACATAATCATATCAAAAGACTTATTTTTAGATTGATTTGGGTAATTTGGGAAACTATCACAAGTTTGCCTGCTAGGAGCCTGTGAATAATATAGCTGATTAGTGTAGAGACACAGGGCTGAACAGAAACTGCTTTTGTGTAGTTTAACACTCTAAGGAGCTTTGCTAACATAGTCCCTAGAACTGGATAACAACCCTAAGAAGTCTACTTTAATGTTTCCACTGTGGCTAAGCAAATATTAGGAGAATTTCTGAAGGATACAAAGGCAAATGAGAAAGTGAAAAAAACCCAACCAAACAAAAAAAACAAACCAAAACTGAAAAACCAAACACTACAAAAAAAAAAAAAAGTAAAATAAAAGCCATACAAAGGATAAGTTTTTAAAATATAGATGAACCTAAATAGAAAATCCAGATTCCATTTTCAGTGTCAGTTTTGGTAAGAACCAGTTTTGGGATGGGGGCCACCTTGGAATTGTTTGTGAGTTCAGTTTCCAAAATACCACCCACCTCTCCCCCAGTGTGAGCAATTCTGATTCTAGAATTTCAGTTGCACGAAATCCTAATAGGTCACAAAGCCTACAAAGAGTCAAATAAATGCAGAATAATCTGGGAACTCACATGTCTCTGCCTTGGCCTGTGTCTATGGCTAAATAGACTTGTCAGATTGGCTGTGCATATTTTAGGCAGGGGCAACAACCTTGGCAGCAGCTGCTGATAAATTTCTATAGTAGAATTTCTAAACTAAACTTACAAATGAAATGGTTGTTCAGTATAGCGAATATTAAAAATAACTTTTTAAAGATGAAGTAATCTCCAAATTGCAATGTAGATGAATGCCTGAAAATTATACTTTTCCCCAACAAAAGATGAAGAAACAGAATGGTTGATGTGAAGGTCTAATTAATCACCATAGAGATGTTGCATGATTACAGTTTCCAAGCCTATAGAAGTCCTTCACCTGTAACAGGTAAGAACTGGATAGAAATCACATTATTCTTAGCAAAGGTCATAAAAGATTTTGTGATTATTGTTTTCTTTAAACTGTTCATTCCTCATATACTTTGAATATTATTAGTCTTAGGATTGATAAAGCACACTGCTGTCATTGTCAAACAGTACATCTGTAACACAGTAAATAGTTTAGTAATGGACTTTTTAAGCTTCCACATCAGATAAATTACTTATGAAAAGGATACCTAGTGCTGAGTAGAGAGTCACATGAATATTAGTAAAAAAAACCCTCAATGACAGAACAAAGCATAC